TCTCTCTCTCTCTCTCTCTCTCTCTCTCTCTCTCTCTCTCTCTCTCTCTTGGTCCAGTATGAGTGTATGCCAATTTACATCCGTTGTACATGTGTGTGTGTGGGTGTGTGGGTGTGCCTCTGTGTGCGTGTATGTGCATACGCTTGTCAACCCCTCCCAATCAACCTCTCATAGTAGCATGCTAGATTCCTCGTGTGAAGGAGGTTCAAGAAGAGCACACCCATCAACTCATGCACAATGTAATGTGTCCATCTTTGCCCTTCTGTGACTTTGACTGCGCACAGCTTAGGAAGACTCGTGCGTCAGATGAACGATTGCAAGGCGCAGTCTCAGAAACTGGGAGGCCAAGTGTCACTGGTGATTTCTCATTCTTCCCATCATTTCCCGACTCCTCCAACTTCCATGTGCACCGTCAGGGGAAAATGCACTTCAGGAAGGCAGGCCATCTTTCAAACCCTGACTTGAAGTGGCATAGTATTCCTACATCTGGAGTTTTTTTCCTTTTCTTTTTGTGTCCCCTCTCTAGATGATGACTACCTGCATTAAAACCAATGATTATAAGACAAGGCAATTCTGATATGAAATGACTTCACTTGACATTGCGCATTTTGCGCCCAGAGAAAGACAGGTCAACAAAAGTTTTTTTTTTTTTTTTTTTGAAAAGCAGCGTCCTTGCTAGGAGAGGTGATAAGAGCACCCCCTCCTAGCAAGAGCCCTGGATGCTCCAATCTATTGGTGGGGAGCAGCACCTGCTGGAAAACGGGTCCAGCGTCCCACTGCACATCTGAAGTCCTGCCAGCATTGATTGCCTAAGTTAATCTTGACCAGGCGATTCTGATTCGAACTTTGAAATGACCACGCTCACCCTTCATCTTTGTCTTGTTTTTCAATCTTTACCGTTTGTTTCGCAAAGTGCGCTCTTTTAGTCCGTAGTTATGTGACAATATAGCTGGACAAAGAAAGCAGAAGTTTTTTCAGACCATTTGCAGCGTGGTCGGTGCTTTCTTGTTAGTGGAGCCGCCTTTTGTGTTGTGGTGCAACTATTTTTGTGTTGGGTTCTGTACACTCCAGGTGCCAGACAACAAAGTGAAGGGGAGGTTGCCTAGCCGTGGAGTGATGGAGATGACAGTGACACGAGTGAGTCGTTTGAGATGAATAGTATTAGTGCCAGTGTTTTGCCTAATGCCTTTGACCCCTCTATAGAGTATAATATGTTTGTGCAAGTGTGCGGCTCCGGCGGCAGACGGGTGTATGGGCACTTGCCGCTTAACCACACAAGGGTGGACAACCTTGCATCTTCTGGTATATTGTCTATCTATCTAGGAAAATTTTCATGACCGGCCGGTCACCCAGGGGTGATGCCTGGGGGACGCCTGGGATACCCGGGCATTGGGAAAAAAAAAAATAAAAAAAATTGGTGGCAGGGTTTTTCCGCGCTCTCCGAGAGGAGTTCGATTCTGGGCTCTTTTCTTTTTTTGAGAGTTGGCTGTCAAGGGGTTTAAAGGGAGTATAAATGAATTTTAAAGGGGCTAAAGGGGTTTAAACGGGGGTGCCTTAGTATGATTTGGTTATTTGTTTTTTTATCTTCAGTTCCGTGAGGAATTCGGATGTCACCCTCAGCCTATGTTACCCCCTGGCCGCAGCCGAGTTCGGCTGAGGCCGCGGCCGAGCCCCCTCCGGCCGCAGCCGGCCGCGGCCGATAATTTCGGCCGAGGCCGCGGCCGATCGGGGAGGGGGTTTGGGGGGCGGGGAACAGGTTTCGAGTCGGGGGGGGTCCCCCTACCTCCTCGCCAAAAAAAAACATAAAAACTTCGAAAACGGGGGGGTGGATTTCGAAGACTACCAAAAAAAATTAAATAAATAGAAAGAAAAAAAAAATTCATTGATTGACTGTTTTTTTTTTATTGATTGATTGATTGATTGATTGGTTGATTGATTGATTGATTGATTGATTGATTGGTTGGTGGTGGAGGGGTCCTCCCTCCACTCCACGGCGCGCGCACACCCACCTCTCTCTCTCTCTCTCTCTCTCTCTCTCTCTC